ACTTACCCATGCTGACTATCTCGCTACGAATATGTGCGTTATGAAACTGGTCGATACTATTCTTGCCAATATGACGGATACAAAATGTCGGATATGCATACGGAGGTATCCAACGACTTCCTGGTCGTTCAATTGCCGCCAAAATACCCGTTCCTCTATCGGATATCAAGCAAACTCCATCTTCACGAACGACATATTGACGTAGATTGGTCAGAAAGAAATCCCAAGCCTCTGTTGTCTCTCCCTCAACAATGGCGAATGCAATTGGGAAGATATTTCGCTCACCATCTTGAGCAACTGCCATCAAAAGTACATGCCTATATTGACCATACAACCACGTACCATCTACTTGGATCATACGTTTGCAAAATGGAAATCCTTCAATACATGTCTTGAATACCCAAAATAGTCTATGAAATATTTTCTTCCCTGGCAGAAGTTGACCTTCTTCGTCATATGCGGGCATGGTTTGAGACTTCACTATAGTTCCTGGGATAAATCGCTTCATTGCTTGTAGCAAATGTGGTAGCTCATTGTACGATGTATCCCAATCTCCATACGTCAACTTCATTGCCTTCATTTTCGTATTCCACACCTTGCCATATTTTACTTGATATCCAAATTGGCTTCGAATAGATGCAGCTAACACTGAACAAGATATCCTTGGATCCTTTTCAACCATCGCCTTCACGTATTCACATATTACATCGGAGTCCAATAGTCGGTGGTCTTGTTCGATGGAGTTTCGCAAACATGTGTGCGAACCATTGTACCTCGTGATGACCCAAACATCGTGCCTTTGATTTTTCGACACTCTGATCTTCCACTTGCACTCTGGGCCATATTTTACACACTTTGCGTATAGGGTTTTCTGGTTGGACTCTGCAACATGGACATCAACATGGCATTTGATGCAGTACTCTTTAATAGCCAGCGTAGCTTCATTTTTTCCTCTAAATTGCACCCCAACTGAAAATTCACCAGAATTATCGAATGATTCAGTCATTTGGTACGAAGGTAAATGTGTCATGTCTGGGAATTCAGGTGCCCTCATTGCATCATAATCTATCTCGTACATGTGAGGAGTAGCTTCATACGGTGTCGGAACTTCATCAATTGCACCTCCACCAAAAATATTTTCGTCGCCGCCCAAAACGGGTTCTTCAGTTTCTTCATCTTCGTTTGAATCATCATGAATTTCTCCCCATCGATTTTCAGCGTCAATATCAACAACCAATTCCGGTATGTTTCTCGTCTCATACTCTGCTGCTGTAGATGTCCCCCCGACTTCATTTACACTTTCCAATAGTGCCATAAAACTGTTCGGGAACCTGTATGTCGGCTCCTCAAACTGACTATATAAAGCCATTTCAGATGGATTTTGAGCCACACCTCTTGATGACCCAGGAACATCACATATGTTACGCACATCAACAAATAATTCAATAACTGCTATATTGGTTGACTCATGTAATCCAACCATGGTTCCAATATCATCATCTTCTTCAAGTGGAACTGCAGCATATCTGACTGGGTTAGAGCATATCATAAACCTATACCTCAAACCATCAACTGCAGCTCGAATTTTTCTTTCTATCTTATGCTTCATTTCTATAAATGTGATGTCTTTTTTGAACATCATATTTATTGGTTTTTCAGACTGAAAAACTACTCCGACCTCATTTTCCATAATCTGTCCATTATAATGGACAATCGTGAAAAAGTTGTTGCTCATTTTCTCTACAAATAAAAAAAATAAATTAATTTAGATTAAAAAATTAGATAAGATAATTTCATAAATTATTAAATATAATATAATATACTATTATATTAATGATCAAATAAAATTTATTATTTAACTTGATTGATTGCTTACTAATAAACCTAATAATGATTTGATAATTACTATTAATCTAATGATTTGATATTTAATGATTTAATAATAATATGATTTAGTCATAATCACTAATAATTATTTATTATAAATATTTAATGATTTAGATTTGATACTAATCATTTAGTAATTATTACTAATAATAATGATTAGTTTGATAATATTTTTTATTTTTTAAAAATATCAAACAAATTTGTTAGGCAAAACTGTTGAGATAATGTTCTCGAAATAATTATTTCGCGAGATAATGCGTTGTCCGGATTATTTCATTCAATTAATTTTTACTTCTTATTAATATACACATACAATGTAAATTAAACAAAATATTTTTAAAACAACACTAAATATTTTTAAACACAATATTTTTTAAAACGGAAATTATCTCGCACAAATTAGTTATATAATCTAATATAAACTTACTAACTAACTAATTTACACATACACAACAACAAAAAATGGACAACAAAAAATAATAAATTACTCACGTCTTTATGCCTTCTTCCTTTACTTTCTTTTCCTGCCTTGTTTCTTTCTTCGAATCAATCTGTACGTGGGCAAATATTGTGAAATAATGTCATGTATGTGTAAACAAAATATTTATTTAAACAACAATAGCTCCCACAAATTAATTTTATATAATCTAATATATTATAATATACCTTAAACTAATAAACTATTTCTTTATTATAATATAACTTAGTTAAAATAACAAACTAATTAAGCACTAATTAATTTTTTTATAATATAACTTCAACTTCAACGAACAACCTAATATACGTTTAAAGACACTAACAAATTAATTAATATTTTTTATATTTAATAACTTAAACTAAGAAACTAATTAACTAATTTTTTATATAATATAATATATAACTTAAACTAATAAACTAATATAATATAACTTAAACTAACAAACTAATAATTTATACTAACAAACTAATTAACTAGATTTTAGTTTTACCCTAAACCCGAAACTAACAAACTAATAATTTCATATAATAAACTAAATTAAACAATAAAAAAATTACCTCACGAACTATGTTTGAGCCTTTATCTTCTTTTCTTCTTCTTCCTTTTCTTTCTCTCGGCAAAGTTTATATGTGCTGGTTCTGCTTGTGCTTCTACCCTAAACCCCATATCCTTTATATAAAGCAACTGAGCGTTGGACAAAGTCATTAAATTTGATTGTTGAAGCAAATAATATTAGCATTGCATCGTCTAACTATTGAGCATTGAAAGGCTGACAGCTAAATTAACGCTGCAATAACGCAACTATAGATGCAACACATACAGCTACGGGTGCAAGAATCTCTGAGCTATGATGCAACGCATGCATGCAGCTACAACAGCTACAGGACCTTGGTCGCCGAGACTCCATGGCGACCTACCTACCACGCCGCCGTGACCTACACCGTTCGACGTGCATGGCCATGCACAGTTCCCACGTCCAATGCACAACATGCATCCCCTCCCCCATGCATTCCCACGTCCCATGTTGATTGCATGGCGACCTATTCCTTTGCAAAATACACACAGGTCGCCCGGATGCCATGGCGACCTCTAAGGTCGCCTGGATGCCATGGCGACCTCCAAGGTCGCCCGGATGCCATGGCGACCTCCAAGGCCACTGTAGAATTCACCCCATTCCAGCAATTAATCTGGAATGTGCACCATATCGTGAAAAAAAAATTCGAGAACATTATCTCGTGAATTCACCAACTAATATCGATCAAAAGACTTATTTAAACCATTTAATTAGTTGAGTATCCAATTGAGTACAAACAAAAATAAGGGAATGGTTGATTTTCTTTTGAAACAGTTAAAGAACATTTTAAATCTTTAATTTTTTTAATCATTAATATTTGGAAAGTTATTTTATGATTATTAATGTTGTTAATCTATAACAAAATAATCATTGTATTTCTAACTCTTGTTAAATTAGTGATATAATATATTAGATTAAATATTAATTTTTGTATTAACATATCATGTCATTAATTTAATCAAAACTAGTAGTGATAAATGAATTATGTTAATGACCATAACATAATTTTTCAAACATTATTCGTTAAAAAAGAAATTTATTCAAACATTAGGGAATGTAGTTATAATTTAACTGTAATACATAACAAGCATGCAAGAAGGAAGTAATAGCCCGCGCCACACTGGAGCTCACCTTTTTCCCAAGCAGCACAAGCGGAAAGCTCCCGCGAAAACCCTAATCTTCCCACGCTTACCCCTCCACAAAACCCTGATCACTGTATTATAGAAGAATACGGGTCGCCTTAAATGCAACAACACAGCTCAAAACACCATGAACTCTTCGAACAGTTTTGAAGGAACTGAGATTCGCTTCCAAGACACTTACGACGAGGAAATCGCCATCGACAGCTCCAATCTCGACGATTCAATCTTAGCCGTTGATAAAACTCCTGAAGCTGTTTCCATAGGAGAACCCTACGTCTCCTTTTTCGGTTATGATGGCGATGATGATAAAACCAGTGCTGATTATTACTTCGATTCTTACTCTCATTTCGGTATATTTTCTTCTTTCTCACCCACTTTATTGGTTTTTAACCATTATTTTTCGTGTTGATTAGAAAACTACGGAAAGGATCATATGAAGAAGCTTCCGATGATGGGAAGAAATTTTAAATCTTTGCAAAAGTTGGAACTCTTTGAGTTCGGTAGTTTTCTTATATCTATCTAATTTCTTTTTAATTGGTGGCATATATATGGAACTAGCATTGTTGGTATTAGATGGTCCATTTGATTGAATTGACTAATGTTTCAAGTCTATACATTGTTTTATTTACTCCCAGTGAGCACTTCCATTTAAATCTTATTTTGATTTCCCCATTTTTGCATGTATATGCAGGTATTGATGAAGTAAGTGTGCAGCAACTTGTACCCTTGAATCTTGTTTGGTTATTTTTGACTTATTTTTGGAGTAGTATTGTTTTGGTCACCATTCCTTGTGAGATATTGGGTGGCGAATATCTGTGAACGAAGGGTTGATTGTAATTGTTCTTTTTTTTTTCTAAGCTCACCCATGAATTAATGCATCGAACTTGCTATCCAAAATAAATATCTTTTTTGCACTTACCTTCTACTTCAATTTATGTAAATTATTTCTGCATTAGTATTCTTGGTTAAAATGGAAGAACATGGTAGGGCTGCATAATTTTTTTCATTTTTTTGTTTGGAAAAAGTTTCTCCTCTATGCTAACCTGGAGTCCCTGTATTTTAGGAAATGCTCAAAGATGTAGTGCCGAGAACAAAGTAGTTCTTGATGTGGGAGCTGGAATTGGAATTTTGTCCCTGTTTTGTGCAAAAGCAGGGGCAGCACATGTTTATGCTGTATGTCTTCCAGTTTACATTTTTTCTTTTATTTTCTGTTCTAGTTTTTGTTTATAATCTGTCTGACCAAATTCTTACGCTCATGGTGTCTTCTCTTATTTTCCTAATGTGGTTAATATTTCTTCCATTACTAGGTTGAATGCTCTCATATGGCTGATATGGCTAAAAAAATTGTTGAAACAAATTCTTACTCAATTTTTTTATTGTTACAGTAGTCACAGTTTTGAAAGGAAAGATTGAAGAAATTGTGCTTCCAGTTGCAAATGTAGACATTATTATATGAGAGTGGATGGGTTAGTTTTTATTATTTGAAAATATGTTGAATACAGTGTTATATGCCCGTGATAAATGGCTTGTAAGTTACTGCTATCGTTGATACTATAAATGTCAATAATCAGTTTTTTCATGGTGGGAGTTTGTTTTTGCACTTTTATGATGTAGTAGGAAGTTCTTGATGAGCAATTTATGTGTGTGCCATGTAAAACTGATATTCAACCTGGAATACATGCATGCAATTAAAGGTGGGAAATTCAACATGGTAAATGCTTGGCTTGACACATTTGTCGAGCTGTTTGTGTTAGGCATTGCTTATTTTTAGTTGTGATGAGAGGCTGCCTGCATTTTGTTTTTCTTGTGATCATCCAGTATTTGCAGCTAACCTACAAATCTAAATGTCAACAGAACCTTTTCCTTTCGTACACTTGCTAGTATATCAAGTTCTTTTTCTTGGTTGGAGGCGCATAGAATGGCAGCTAGCTACTTGGTTCATTAAATTCTCTAAACATGTTGCTTAGATGCTGTGATTTGTACAAGGTGGATTCTAAGTGGAGGCTTAGATCAAATTGAAACTTCAATTCCATGATCATGTCAACTTCTCCTGTGCATTTTTTTCCTTGTGCTTTCATATGGTGAAGGGACTGGGCCTTTAAAATTCATTTTCACTCTTATTTGCTCATGTAAGCAAAATTTGTTGGTTTCTTCTATGTACATTCTTTTTCATTCAATTTTCTTATTCCTTTACCCGTCTCAGGTCAATGATGTAGTTGTGCTACCAGATAAAGCTTCTCTTTACTTGACAGCTATCGAGGATGCAGAGTACAAAGATGACAAGATTGAATGTGAGTATAGCAGATTGCTGATTTGTTATTATTCTAGATTTTTCACGTTCATATGTGTTTGTATGCTTTCAACCAGTTTTCCCATTGCTGTTCATCGGAATTCGACTTCTTTAATCTTATATATACCCATATTTTCTCCATGGCACCATCTTGCTACAGTTTGGAATAATGTTTACGGCTTTGACATGAGTTGCATAAAAAAGCAAGCTATGATGGAACCTCTTGTTGACACGGTTGACCAGAAACAAATTGTGACAAATTGCCACCTTCTCAAGGTGAGAAATACATTGTAGAAGAATTCTCATGTGTATGAATATATAATTGGTATCTATATATACATGATTGCTGGAAATCCTTTTGAAAATAATGTGTTTGGAATACATCTGAATTTTTCATTTTGCATTTCTGGTTTCAGACAAAGGATATTTCTAAGACGATTCCCGAGGATGCTTCTTTCACTGCACCTTTCAAGCTTATTGCAGAACGTGACGATAACATTCATTCTTTCCCAAATTCCGTTTTCAATCAGCAGTAATAAACTGCAGAATCTTCCCATTCTTTGTCCTTTCTATCTTATTGATGAATACAAATCGGGGAGCATCCTAGAATATTTTTGCCCTTGGTTTATGGCAATACGGAAGTAATGCATCTGCTAAGTATGGAGTTTTGGTGCAACTAATATTTTTTTTCTTCTCACTACTGCAAATCAAAAAACAAAATGCAGGACCAAAATCGCGAGCCACCCATTGGAAGCAAACAGTGTTATATTTAGAGGATGTGCTAACCATATGTGAAGGCGATGCAATAACTGGGAGCATGACTGTGGCGCCAAACAAGAAGAATCCCCGAGATGTGGATATAATGGTCAAATATTCATTGAGCGGTCGACGCGGTGTGGTTTCAAGAGTTCAATTCTACAAGATGCGCTGATTTTGTTGCCAGAGTATTTCTTCATTATTACTAGCTGCTCCACCACCTTTGTTACCGTGTTGGAGAAGACCTTATTTGCATGTTTCTTCAACGTTTCACTTCGATTTTTTTTTTCTATTCCTTTGCTGTTCCTCTGCTTCCAATCACCCTTTGTACTTTCATTTCTCTCGAAAGTTATTCTCCGAGAGGAAAAAAATATAATAATCAAACCAAGAATCTTATAGAAACGCTATCATGCTGGAAATTGAATCTATAAATGCTTCATATAGAAAATGATAAAGACAGGTGCATAAGCTTAATTAACTCAATCAGACTGTTCTCTTCTCATACTTTCAGGATTGGTCAAGACTCACAAAAAGTATATATTATACGAATTGACGTTTAAAAAAGTTAAGTGATTGTAAATTAGTAATCAAGATTGATCAAAATATATATTAATATACTATTAATTAAGTTCATGAATTAATCGTGTATTAGTTTATTAAAATGAATAAAAATGATTATTTTAAATTACGGTTAATATTATTAAAGGTAATTAAAAATATTATTTTAAATAATAATTAGTATAATTATAATAATGTTTTTGTTTTTTTTATTTAGGATAAAATACATAAATGGTCCCCAATTATAGGATACTACTTTGTTGAGTCCCCAACTATTAAAAATTACAAAATGATACTATAACTATAAGGCATTGCTTTGTTAAGTCTCTCAACTATTAAAAGTTATAAAATGATCATCGACTATTCATTATGTTTCAAACTCGTCTTTTCAGTTAAAAAATTGATAACAGTCTGAGTTGGATGTTAACATATTAATTGAGAAATGATAGTTGTTTAAGATTATGAGGTCATATTTTATTATATATTAGTTAGCAAGTTAATGTCTAGTTTAAACTACTGTCGACTTTTTAATGAAAAATGACGAGTTTTGGAACATCATGAATAGTCAGGTGACCATTTTGTAACTTTTAATATTCGAGTAACTCAAAAAAGTAACACCTTATAGTTGAGAAATTATTTTAAATATTTAATAGTCAGAAAACTCAACAAAATAATATCATATAATATGAATCATTTGTGTTATTTACCTTTTAATTAGTATTTACTAAAATGTTTATCTAGAATTATAGATCTAACGGCTACAATAAGTTCAATTGCTCCGTAGCCACCAAATAACTAAGCCTCGGCCCCATTCTGATACGTACCCCCCGCCACCAAAATACCGATTAGAGGCGGAGGCACCGGATGCCGCCTAAAATGACGGCTACTGTCACTGTGGTGATTTTTTACTTTGACCGGACGTTAATAGACGGAGATAGCGACAGATGGGTTGTGACGGAGATGGGCCTCCTCGACCTCTTCAATCAACTTCGATCTACCTTGCCTTGGAATTCCCTTATGGTTTGTTTTACATTTGACTTAAAGCCCCCTTTTCAATTTTAATTGCCATTGCTAGTTAATTGCAGTTTTTCATTTTCTCACCGTGTGATTGCTGGGGGAAAAATCGATTTATCTATTAGTGAAATGAAAACTTCAGGGAGCATCTTATAAAGTTTCTTCCTTCACCATTTTCGAGGTCTAAATAAATATGCTTATTACTAGGAAGAAAGTGGGAGTAGTAGGTTTTCTGAAATCGATGCTAATAATTTACTACTCTACTGTGAAATTAGCTTATTGTGTTAGATCAAATCTGCTATTTGTGATTATTAAAGACTAAAAGATCATGATTTGTTGTTATCTGTGGTAAAGGCTTGTATTTTGTGGTTATTGCCGGGGAAAAAAAAGAATAGAAGCCTTTTTGATTTCATGAACTTTGTTGTTATATGTTAAATCTATTGTAGGATAGGATGATGAAGGAGCTTCATTCCCAAGGGAAGACTGCTGATGATATTGCAGAATCCTTGAAAAAGACTCCGGTAAATCCAAGAACTGCTGCTGCCATTAAATCCGCCTATGCGCTTGGGTAGTTATCTTGGACATCCTTTTTTTTCATGTTTTGTTTTTTTTCAAAGCTCTTACGGTTAATGTTGGTTACATGGTACGGAATGTCAGATGCGATTTGAGGATACTTAGTGATGCAAATCAGTTTTTCATCGATAAAATTTTGGAACATCATGGTCTGTTGGGTTGCTTTTCAAAGATCTATACGAACCCAAGCTATGTGGAAGAAGGAAGGCTCAGGATCTTTCCTTATCTCCACATGGCTGCAGTCTATGTCCAACTAATTTGTGCAAGGTAAACATGTTCACTGATAGATAATATTTATCAAATCATGCGATGATTTCTGATTTATTAGTTTTCTACTTTTTGTTGATTGAACATCTGGTTGATTATCTGGAATATTAGTTTATCCGAAGCTAAAGGATTGTTGGTTCTGCATTTGCATTTTGTAGACATGTAGGTTTTTATTTCAAGGAAATATGCTCATTCTTCATTGTTTCTAATCATCTGAATTTGTTAATGCAATGCTCATTCCTTGTCGATTTGCCTACAAAAATAGGATCGATTTATCTCTGTCTATATGTTGAATTTTTATTGATTTGGGATCTGGTTGCTTGGGTAGAATATTTTTCTCATTTAGCAGTTTTGCATTCTGTAATCCAAGTTCTACTAACAAAAGAGAAAGAACAGTCCTAAAATATTTTAAAGTTAAAGTTTCATTACAATGTTGGCTAATGCTCAAGAGACATTCTTGTTTAGTTGCTCTGTTACTGCTGAATAGTTACTGGATTTTAGCATCCCAGAATCATATACCTTATATTGCTCTAAAATATTTTCTTCGGAGTGGTTGATTCTTCGTCGTAAATTAGAGTTTTAACCCCGATTTCTATTGTAGGGTCTAGTACTTGACCTAATCTGTGCTTCTGCTCCTGAGAGAGGCAGCCAAATTTTATCTACCTGGGAGATGGATCAGGTGATTACTGCCCAACTCTAAAGCTTCGAGACAGTGATTATGTGATGCCAAGGAAGAACTACCCTTTATGGAACCGTATTTTTAGTGACCGAGCTTCTGTCAAAGCAGAAGTTCATGAATGGAGCAATGGTGAAGAGCTCGAAAGAATCTTGCTCCACCTCATTAACAGAATATCTTCCGAATAAAAGCATCTTCTACCATTTTTTTTCTCAATGGAACTCATCTGGTGGCAAGCTCCACGTGTCGATATCTTCATCTGAACCCTTAAACCATCGAGGGGTCATATTGCTTCTAATTTTACAATGCAGGCATATTTTGGGAATCTGTTCTGGTTTAATTCTTTTTTTTCCCTAAATTTGAATTTTTTTTTTAAATGACATGTTACTATGAAGAATCTATTTGGGAATATCATGAACTAGATATTACTAATATTTTCCTGGAAATTTATGATATTGTAGTCTCTCATGCACAGTTTTCACATAAGTTGTCCTGCAAACCTTGACACCGTTACTGTTTTGCCTCTTCTCCATAGAAACCTTAAATCCTGCTTCATTTTCATTATTATTGCAAATAAAAACCATAAGAAAAACAAGGCATTTTATTTTATTTATTTATCTTGGTTGTGACAAAGGCATTTTATTTTATTTATTTATCTTGGTTGTGACAGAGGCATTTTATTTTTATTACACCGGATATCAAATGGTTATTTTGATCATTCAACTTTTAAAAATTATAAGATGATCATTAAATTTATTAATTTTTTATAAAATAGTCATTGTGATGTTATAATATTTATAGAAGTTGGATAAATTTAATGATTATTTGTTATCAGTGATAATATTTAGGATAACTTATACCAATGGTCACTGAAATTTTATGGTGTTTTACACTTAGGTCATCAAAATATTAATAAGAAAAATCATTGGAGTCATTGTTATTAAGAGAATTAATCTTTATTTTCTTATTGATAAGATGGTGACACATGTCTCTTTAATGGAAGAATTGATTTAATGAGGCACTACATTTCTTAAGCAAGGTCAAGGGTTCAAAATCTGGCGTTTGCAAATGGAGCAAACTAGGTTGGGAGGATCGTCTTTACTTCTGCAATATCTGATCTGGTTTAGCAGATGAATAGATCAAATATTAATGATTAATAAAAAGAATAAGAAAATAACATATGTGCATGTGGACTCAATTGTTGTTGACATGTGAACATATCATATTAATTGTTCATAGTTTAATGGTCTAGTGATCAAAATGATTTTAGTGAAAAAAATATTTCGGTGATGAAAGTAAAAGTATTTCAGATTTTTAATGATCATTGATATATTTACCTTAATGTTTAATAAATAATTTTAAATATTTATTAAATTAATTATTATCTTATAACTTTTAAAATTTAATGAATTAAATTATCTTTTAAATATAATTCAGTAAAAGACTGACATCTGATGTACGTTATTCTTTATTTGAGAAAAAAAGGAGTTAAAACAGGTCATATATATATATATATATTAATAAGGGCTGGATCATAAGTGACATGAACAAAACCAGGAGAATGGGCCAACACATATACAATTCATCCAATGGCCACCAAAACAGACTTTTAGTGGACAAGTTGGAACCAATGAATAAAAATAATATCAGCCAAGATTACAATATTCTTTATCATCAAAAGGCTATAAAAGCAGCAGTATAATTACAGAATTAAGTATAACTGAGATCAGCAGGTCCACCAAACTCGTGGGTCAATTACCTTCCCCTCTCTTCACCCATTCGGAATCTAATCTAAATACCAAAGAAAGAAAGGAGCCAAGGCATGTGCTCGTCTGCGCAGTTGTCATCAGTTGGCCACAACATATAAAATCCACATTTCCCCCCTACACCGGTACCTACCCTCATCAGATACAAATGTTTCTTTTCTTCTCCTAAGCCTGCTCTTTTCTATTAAAAACTAATACTCTTTTTTTATCTTTTACATCAAATATCGCTCTCCCCCCCTCTCTCTTTTTCTCGCTATCTGGGGCTACAAGACGTGTGCTTAGAATGGCAAAGAAGGGAGAAGAAAGAGATATGGGTTTGTTCTTCGATGGGATCATAAAGTCCATGCCTTTGTTTGCTAAAGAGTTGGTTGCTGGTGGTGTTGCTGGAGGCCTTGCAAAGTCGGCTGTCGCTCCTCTTGAGCGTGTGAAGATTTTGTTTCAGGTTTCTTTTTTTTTCCGGCTTTTCATAGGTTGACTTGATTTCTTGGTTCTTGCAAAATGGCCTGTACTTGTTCGACTCTCTGTTTCTTCTTTGATGTTTGAGTGTTTCTAATGGGTTTGCATTCATATTTGATTTCTCGAGCT